AGGTTTTGGATTTATTACTTTCGAGGCCGAACAATCAGTGGACCAGGCTGTCAACATGCATTTTCACGACATACGAATATGATAAATATGATATTTATAGATATGTTTTCATTAGTTTTCATTACAATCATCTGAAAACAGTCTGTCATGTTTAACCGCCATGTTTCTACAGTAGTTTTCTACAGTAGCCCAGAACAGACACACCAAACACTGGCTCTAGGAGTTTTGTGCGCTTTCACTTGGTTGCAGTCTGCTATTTCCGTGCGTGAGATACATATATCATTAACATTAAAGGGACCAAACAGCTGTGGAATACAAAATGTGATGCACTTTTTTTTATTTTTCACCAGCTACTTGATCCAAACACCGAAGCTCCTGATTCAGCACTATTAAGTTTATAAGCTTAAATTATTGATAAAACATAAATAAAAGATAAATTGCGAGAATGTGACTGATGCACATTTTGAAGTTTTAGAAATACAGTCCACTTACGTTACGTCACGTCACAGAGTCGAGGTTCTTCCCTCACAAACTACCGTTGTACAGTACATACTACGGCTTGCGGAGTAGCAGTAGCGTTCAATACAAGAAAGGATTGGATTTTCTTTAGCTCTATTTCAGCCAATACCAATCCAGCTCCCCTGATGCCAACTATCAGGATCAGGTTGCGATTTCTCTGCTTTATTACGTGTCGATTGTAGCCAAAGCGTAACAATTACAAGTCAATCTGTCCACAATATCATTGTAAACTGCATACACACTGTGCGGGAATGGGAAGCCTGACGGGGGTAGCAACAGTAACTAAGGGAATAACAAAATTGTAATCCAGCAAGGAGTGTCTTCTGTGCTTGAGAAAGGCTGGAGACTGAGAGGAAGTACCTAAAAGAAATCAGCATGGAAAGGACCCAGGGATGGAACATGAGAACTACAGCTGCTAGTGATGGAAGTTTAATCACTCTTGGTCCTGTGTCGCTCAGGAGGAGGAGGAGGATTCAAACAGGATTAATGGTTCACCTCCCACTGGCCTTCTAACCCAAAAAAAAACAAAAAAACAAAAAACCCCACAACTTGTGATTCTGCAGGGCAGTTTGGGGAGCGGTGTTGAATAAATGATGCAGGTCATCTTCTCTGCTCAACACCTGCCAAGTGAAGTCAGTTTTACTCTGGCTCGCACCGACGAGAGCGGCAAGCTGGTAACATACCGGGTTCAACACGGCACCAGCATCCATTCTTGACCTTGCTCGCAACGAGACGGCGGGGTCGAAATACGCTAATGATTAATGAGACGTGCATTTCGCAGCGCTGGGTGCCCAGAAACTGTAGCACAGGTTGACGTTTGTCTTCTCATTAAAATATAATATGTTCCCCATCAAGTTTATGGCTGAATTACTCAGGCAAAGACTTTTGAACAGATTACTCTCCTCAGAAACAAATTTTTTTTTCTGGGCACTTCAGAGAGAGAGAGAGAGAGAGAGAAAAAAAAAAAAAGAAGCGTCGAAGCCAGCAGCAGCAGTGAAAGAAGCTGTTATCAGGCTGCGCAGTGGCTCTGGCTCAGCATACTGATTAGTGTGTGAGTGTGTCTTTGTGCATGCATGCATGAGCGCGTGTGTTTATCTTCAGTACGTATGAGTGTTGTTCATTTTGCCTGCTTTAATTCCAAGGGGTCAGCAAGTAGCCTTTTTGTTTTCACAGACAGGGCGTACATATGTGTGTTTTCTACAGTGCTGTGTATGTTCATGTAGCGAACGGCAGGTTTCCCCGGTCCACTCTCCTCCAGTTCATTAGGGCTCACTGTGATATGAAACAGAGCCAGTGAGTCTGTGTGAACACACACTGCACTGCATCCTGTCCTGCAGTTAAAGCTAAAGCCACCAACCCTGCCCCTGTCTGTCTGTCTGTCTGTCTGTCTGTCTGTCTGTCTGTCTGTCTGTCGTGGCTCTGCTGACCCTGCAAATGCTGCTTTGCTGCCGTCGTCCCGCTGTAGCGCTTTCTTTGTCATCTACCTTGTTTTCCTCCTCTCTTCCTCTCTCCTTTTACTCCTCCTCCCTCAGGGCAGCCGCGTGTATCAAAGCCCCGGAGGCTGGGGAGCAGGCCTTGGGTTGTTGGGCTTCGCTGTTTGCTGTTTACACTCCTCCATCCTCTGCTGTGTCTGCGCCACATGCTCTCTTCTTCTTATCTCTCTCCGTTCAGCACTCAGCCTTCAATACCTGTCTTTTTGAATTTCTGAAATGTGTCAGTGAATTCAAAGGGAGAAAATCTGCCGACAGGGCAGGATATTTTCAATTGTTTCTGTCCCAGGTTCCTTTTATCAAGTGTTCTGATGCTTGTGGGGCTCTATGCTCACTGAAGATGATGCCACTTTTTTCTAGTGTTACTAACAGCATCACAAGCGTGACATTGTGTCCTCCTACTGACAGCTAATTCTCTTGCTCATGTTAATTAGACTCAAAACATTACAAGTATACATGAGGCTGGATTACGTTTCAAGATGGGCTTGTTTTGCAGCATCCCTCCGTCCTCTCCTCTCCTGTTTAAATCATCCTTTTTGATCTTCCCTCCTCTTTTATCTCCTCTCCTCTCCTCTTTTCTGTCCTCTCCTCTCCTGTTTCGCCTCCATTCCTCAGGAGGCACAGGCTCAGTGCCTGCTGTGTCCTCTGTCTGTTTGTCCTCTCTCGCTCTAACTTTCTCTCTTTGTCTCTCGCCCATGCTCCCTTACTTAGTCCCCACTTTTTCTTCTCTTTCGCCACTCGCCTCCCTCCTCCCTCTCTCCACCCCTCTGTCGGCCCTGGGTGTGAGAATGTATCACCCCTGACGAGGCGCCGATTGGCTCTGTGTGCACTGTGCCCGTGTCGTGCGTACGCCTCGTAGCTGCGCCATTTGCTATAAATATGCAATTTTTTGGCCTCCCTTTGCTCAGCATGAGTAGACCTCATACCAACTTGCCATCATGTTCCCCCACCCTCCTGCGCACACAGATTTATACTCCTCCTTGAGTTATTTATTTAAGTGTGTAGGAGCAGTAATAGGCTCTAAAATTGCTGATACGATTGAGAGAGCAGGAGGCTTGCTGCGCAGATTGCAGAGTTGGCTGAATGGCAGGACTCACTGAGCTCCTTCAGCAACTCTTACCTTTGTACCTCTTTTTTGTAGCGTTTTGTACAACTCGGTTGCACTGGAGTCGAGTTTGAAGGCAGTGAGTTTAGATTTTTGTTAGCCGCTGTTGAGCTTTTTTTAAATTCGTTTCTCCTTTTATCACTCTTCAGTCCTACTCAGCCATCATTTCTGGCTTCGACGGCGGCAGAATAGTGGAGGAGATGCTTCATGCTCTGACTGTGTTAACACGCTGTAGTTTTCAGCTCGGTGGTCTTAAGTGCCGCTGCTGTTTATGAGTGCCTAGATTCCTTTAGCCTGCCGGTGTGTGTGTCTCACACATCATGACTATTGTCTGGCATAAAGCACCAAAACAAACTGAAACTGAGAATGTCTTGCTGACTGACCCGTTGGCTATTTCTAATGTTTTCTGACACATAAGTGATGATTTGGTCCTGGGGGGTTTAAATGTGGTGTATACATGCTTCACAATCTCAGCTGTTAGAAAGAGGAATGTCAAAACTGAAAATACAAGCTTTCAGCAAATACAACCGATAATTCTGATCATGATGAGGCTCTTTTTTTCGCCTGGTCATCCTGCCTTAATGTTTAATGAGAACTCTCTTTAATGAGTTCATACTTTCACATCTCTGGGCTTTGTGTGTAACAGTTCATGTCCATGTGTGCCTGCATATGTCAAGTGTGTATGTCCAAGGGTTTCACTGAGCTCCAGCACTGCCGATATATGTACATGTGTACACAATGCGGTCAGTTCATTCTGTTTTTCCACCCGCCCGCCTCTCTCCTCACCTCCTATATTCCCCTCCTCCCCACTTTCTCTCTCTCTCCACCTCACCACTGGCAGGGCTCACCAGTGAGAGAGCCCAGTGTGTTGGACCGGACAGAGGGTGCATTGTACCGGTTGGCCATCGGACGCACACACAGACGCACACAAACAACCCAACCGTACTGACCGCCTCACACTGGGCAGCCGCAGTCTGTCTGGCATACATCGGTGACCTCACAGCTAGCTGCTGGTGCGAAAAGCGTGTGTGACGTGTGTGAGTAGAGGAATCAGTGTAGCTGGAAAGGTCACAGCTTGTTCTTGTTTTCTCTGCCTTTAGTCATTTTTGTGAAGGGTCTAACGCTGGAGCAACATTTACACAGATGTTAGAAAAGGATTGCGGGTGTCTCTCTGTCTTTGTCTGATGAGTCATCTCCCAGGATTTAACTACAAATGTAAGATTTTGAGATGCATAGTTCAGACAGAATACCACGTTCCTATTGCAAATTATGTGAGACGTGGTCATGATCTCTAAGACAACAGCTGTGGATACATTTGACTTTGACAGCTGAGGCTGATGGGAATGTCATTAGCTTTGCAGTTTATTAGTCACAAATCAACGTATTGGACAAATTATGTACAGTGTAATTATTACAATGATGGGGACATGATTGTCGGTAGCAAATTTGATAGCAATCCATCCAATAGCTGTTGAAATATTTCACTAAAAACAAAACCTCAACCTCATGGTGGCACTAGAAGAACAAAGTCAGTAGGATTCTTTCCCTGGGAAACATGAAATTAATTTGAGTCTGGACCAAAGTGATGGACTGACATTGCAGTCCCCTAGAGCACGACAGAGCCCCATTTTGTTTTGGTTTCCAAAAAAAATGTCAGGAGAGAGCAGGCCTAACCAGTGGATAGTTGTACCGTTCATTAGTTTTTGTCAGGGCTCCTGTTGAGAGGGGGGTCTGGGCTCAAGAGTGCTGCATTAGTGGAAGTGTCTGACCGGGTTTATCTCAATTAATCAGCGTTTTTTGTTTTTACAGATTTGACTGTGAATGCACCCTGGTATGATTGGATGTCAAATATCTCATTAAGAAGACGTACAACATTCGTAGTGAGACACATTCCGTAGCTACTGCATAGTTTCTACAATGCTGTCATCAGTTAAGAGCATAGTTTTGTGTGAATGAAAAAACAACTTGTGGGTGTGTTGAGGTTGTCATCGGGCCGCACTGCAGAAAAACAACACAGCAGTTACTCTGACTGGGTTCTACAAATTGGTCTCACATCAGTACGTTTATGGTACTTTATGTCTGTTGCTTTAGATCAGCACTCCAGTAGACAGTATAAAGAATATGGATTCTGGCCCAAACCCCAGCTCCAGTTAGAGCCTCAGGCCAGGTCCCAGAACAGCTCTGCCCAGAGTCCCAGACAGCCTCACCCATCAATAAAACAAACCAAAGAAAGAGGGATGAAATGTCGAGTGTCTTCTTTAAACACTCGAGTCAAATCTGGAGTACATATTTGGCGTCCAAAAATCTTGAGGTCTTGAAGTCCCAAACTAATTCATGTAGAGACTTTTATGGACTTTTTCAAATATGAAAACAAATCAAAAGTTCTATTTTGCTTGCAACCTTTTTATTTAAATGAGATTCTCTAGTTCAAAGAGCCCACTATCTACGCTCTTATTGCTCCCGCTGCAAACCTGCTTACTCCTGGCGAAGCTAAACCGTAGGGGGGTGGGATCAAAAACAAGCAGGAACAGCACAGTGTGAAAAGGCTCCACGCTACACCGACGAGATGTTAAAATCCTGCAGATGCTGTTTTATGGTCTGCAGATAGAGTTTCAGGGAGGGCTCTTAGGTCAGCAAAAGTGGGCGAGAGAGTTCAGGTTACTGCAACAAAAAGTAAAGCGCATATGTTTTTTTCCTTCCTTCACCAATCTTTTCTTGTCTCTTCTCTTTTGTTGCCTTTGCTCATCTGGTTATCTCTCCTCTTCTCTTTCTTCTCTTTTAAGTGTTCTTCTTCTCTGCATCCTCCCACACTCACTCCTCTTCATTTCTGGTCCTGAACTGTCGGGCCTCTCTGTAATAAAGTGAGTGGTGAGTCAGCAAGGATCCAGGGACCCTGATAAATCTCAGCGTCTTGAGAGTTGAGAGTGTGAAGCAGGCTATAAAGCATAAACACCCTGCTGAACTCAAGCCCCATCAGTCTTTTTCTGACCATATAAATGACAGGTATATTCACATATGATTGAAGAGTCTGTCCTGTAGATGAAAAATAACTGTTTTGTGTGTTTGGGGGGCGGGGGGGGGCTATAAAATGTCACAAACCTCAACTGCTTTCAAGTGATTTAAAAAAAAAAAAAAAAAAGCAAACTACAACTTACTTTTATTCCTGCTGTGATGAAATGTTATGATGCGTTCATGTGTCATCCACTCCTTCCTTAATGTTATTTTTTCTGGCGAATGCTTTTATCCTCCTCTCCTGTGAGTGCATTATCAGTGTGGGTGGCTCCCGTGGGAGCTAAACATTACCCCTGTCCATCATTTCTACACACAGATCGTTACTACGTCTCTAACAAAATGTCAGCCAATACAACGGGAGGGATCTGGATACATTACGGTGTCGTCCTTTTGTCCTTGAAAGAAAGAGCCGTCCCACAAGCCAACAGCATAGTCTGCAAAAAGAGAATAACATACATTACCCCACATATTATAGAACTATATTTATCTTGAGACAAAGATTAACATTGACCTAATTTGTTATGTCAAGATGATGTGATTAAGTAAAAGAGAAAACAAAACTCTGGTGATACAGTAGTATATTTATCATGAGAAAATCAGTTTATTATTTTATTATTCCATATTCATGATGCCATTAAATGCTCTCAGTGTCTGAACTTACCTGAAAACCTATGTTCTATTACAGAGCCCTACACTACCCTATACATCATGTTTAGTTCAGTCTTTCCGGCAGTAGATACTAAAATATCCCACTAGTCTCACTGGGCTGGTATTTTTTTAACCGGTATTCTTCTGTCTCACAGGCACATGGACTCCTTTCAACCCAGTGACGGTGCGCTCCATCATATGTAAGTAGCTGCTGACAAAGACATTCTCTCACACAACTGCCTGTTGTTCTCAGACTATGCAAGTTGTTTATTTGCCTCCTTTCCATGACAACCGGATAAATTCATTATGCTTTGAGCACTGCGAGGGCGGAAACAAACTTATCTTTGGCTTCAGTATGTGCTGCTTTAGTGGAAACCTGCAGCCATCAATAAAAGAGAGGAGGAGAAAGCATCTGGAGGAAATAGGAAATTTAGTCTCAAAAGGCTCTCCGATTGCCTCAGACTCCAAGTATCGATCTGTTTACACTCTACACTAGCTGTAATGTGCAGGGCAGGTGAGGTTAAAAACTTTAAACTCTGCAGTGTAGTCGAGGACCAGGTTATACTATTAGGTAGGTCAGACTGTACCTGGACACAAATGAAACCAAATATGTTCTTGTACTTAAAGTTATTATCGTATCTCTCCTTTTGAATCTCAAAGAATGTGGCTGATTTATCAACCTCAAACTCCCTTCACATTTTATACTACTGCTTCCAGACACAAAGACGTTAAAAATATCTTTACCCGGGTCTAATGTGTACTTCCCTTTTTGTTGTGTGACTTGCAGAGTAAATCCCTATAATTCCATGGCCTCCCCTTCCCACTGTACCATACTCAGTAAATCCATTGTTTAATAGTCCCCCAGCAAGAAGCATATCCTGTGATAACGCTCCCTTTGTTGGGAGGTAATTGGATTGAACCGCACGGGGGTGAGGAGTAGAGTATTGGTGGTGGGGGGGGATCAAGCAGTTTGCTTTCTCTGTTAGAATGCAGGAGTTAGTCAAGTGTGACACCCATAGTTTACACTTTTCTGTCCCCCGACAGCCCTTTATGGGGTACCATTTTTGCTTTCATGACGTCCAGCTCCGATTAAAGGCGTGTCTCTCTCTCCTTCAGCCATGTTCGACAGGGAAAATAAAGGCGGGGTGAACTTCAACGAGTTCGCCGGCGTGTGGAAGTACATCACAGACTGGCAGAACATCTTCAGGACCTACGACAGGGACAACTCTGGCTTTATCGACAAGAACGAGCTCAGACAGGCGCTGACTGGATTCGGTGAGCAGCAAAGTATGACTGTGTATTTCAATTTGATGGATGTGGTGGAGGGCTTCATGGCTGTCTGTAGGAATGTCCTATTTCTGGATCAAAAGGTCAGATTTTGTCTTTTCATTAGCTCTGTGTGTGATTGGACAGACTTGCATGTCAATGGAAATTGCTAATTAAAGGAATAGTTTGGAAGTCTATCCTTTTACAGTCACTGTCATGCTATAAATACTTATGTTCACAGTCATTGTTATTTAAAGACACATTCGTGTTTCAGATAAAGCTAACATGATTCCACTGAACTGCTGTAACTGTCGTGTCTTAGTGATTCTGTGTTTGTACCGCCTAAAAATGTCCAAGGGTTTCAATGTGTTTTTTAAATTTTTGCTGACAAGATACTTCAGTAATGCCTCAGTGAAAAGAGCATATCATACTGATGGTGGCAGTTCGGTGAAGAATACCTTTAATTTGAACGTATCATGCCTCAAATACTACTACTACCCCTCAGCTCTGCAGCAGTCAGTTTTAAAACGTTATCCTTCGCTATAGAGTCATGATAGCCAGGCTTTTTTTGTACTCACCAGCCCAGTACATTGTTAATGTCTTGTTTGCTGTGTTGTTTACTGTGTTGTGTACAGGCTATCGTTTATCAGATCAGTTCTACGGCACGCTGATAGACAAGTTCGACCGCCAGAGGAAGGGACAGGTTGCCTTTGATGACTTCATCCAGTGCTGCATTGTACTACAGGTAACCGAGACACACTAAATCAAAACAAACTGTATAATACAATTCATATTTCTCCACACTTATGCACATACATGAATATAGAGTGTCCTTTGGTTTAGCACTTGAATCACAACAAGGCCCCTCGCATTCATAAGATTCAAAGGGGGTTTTAATTATGCAAACACATTACAGTCTTGCCTTTTACATTATTCATCTTCTGTGGAAGTTCCACTTGAGCCTGCCATGTTCTGTTTCAGTAATTTCACACCCATACAATTGAAGCTGCAAAGTATGACTATAACCTTTCATTAATACAGCAGCTCTTGAGATACACTAGGATAGTAATATAACAGTAGCCTTTGAGGTGCCTCGCTCAAGGTATCACAATAGCTCTAGCTCCACTTTATTTGGCACTTTGTCAGACAAAGATTTGATTAAGGGATCTTGTGTTGAATGCCTGTTATAAAAGAAAAGTGTTCAACATCAAATCTGTCTGTATAAATGTATACCATTATAGTTTGGTATTATTATGCTCAAAAAGTTAAATTCATTATCTTCCCTTTCCCTTCCACAGAGGTTGACTGACGTGTTCAGGCGGTACGACACAGACCAGGATGGCTGGATCCAGGTTTCATATGAACAGTATCTATCCATGGTCTTCAATATAGTATAACGCACACGGATCACAAGAGAAGAGCACAACTGGACACAACTGTGCCAAAGCTACCGGCACCTCCCGGATGTCTGCCGCGGTGGACACTACAAGATTTTTTTAAAAACCTAATTTTTAACCCCAGTTGAGCTGTCACACACACATTTATAAATTAATACGACTCAAAGAAACCTTCGGTTGTTTGAGTTTGCTCTACCCTTCAGACGACAGTATCTGGAGGTACAACTACAAAGCTTGATGTATTTAAAAAAAAAAATCTTGTAGTGTTGTGTTCAATGACCAATCTGAGCTAAGTCTGTGTTGGGGTTGGGGAATATTATGGACACATCCTGTCTTTATGTCAGTCAGTTCGTCTGTTATTGTTGACAAACTTTTTAATGTCTTAACTTTAATTGATACAATTAAAAAATAACTCTGTCGAGAGTAAAAATGATGCATTGTAAATATGATTTAAGATGCTTTGCATGCTTTTCAGGGAAATTTAGCCCCATGTTGAAGCATGCTTTCCCTTTCTCTTGTCTTTTCCTCAGCCCTATTTTGCTCAAAGCCATGTTTACAGAAACGGTGAAAGCAGGTCATGTTCTGCTTTGAGATTCACTGACATGCCAGCTTACATGCCATATTTGTACAAACTTATTTTTAACAGCAAATCTTCAAATGTTAGGACATATACTTTTTGGTAGATGGTAAGCATAATGCCTTTAAGTATGGCTTATTTTTTTGTGCATGATGCCTTAAAATGTGTAAAAACAACACGAAAAGAGAAATCTTTTATTAAAAAAACTGAAAATGTGATGGTGGAGTTTGCTTCAATCATTTACAGGAGCACAGAGCCACGTTGCATTGCAGGGGGGACCGGTTGACCTGTAAAGTGGCTCAATGTCGCCCTCTGCTGTACGTTGGCAGTTTTTACCACTGCAATGCACCAACGTGTCCCAGAACCTTGGGCTTTGTCTCTGTTTCTATGGGGGAGTATAAAAGTGTTGCGCCTTATATTAGAGTTGAGTTGAAGGCTGAAGTTAGCGGACCTGGCTGTTGCTAGTTATTGTTTTTTTTAATACGTTTGAATATCATTTTTAAACACCGTACCGCTGAATGTGTTGATTGTTCAGGAGTTTTAGCAATGGCGCTGAAACATTTTCCGACTCTGACACACATTGTAGGGGCTTCCTATAAAAGTAAAACATTTGGACGGTCGACAAAGGCAAGTTTGTTGTTGGGGAAACCCTTCAGCACTCCGACGGGAGGTGAAGACACAGGAGCAGGTATGTGTGTGGAAACATGCAGTAACCTCATACTGACTGTAGGAGGCGGCAGAGGCTGCCATAGTGCCAGCACGGACATTAACACACCTGTACTCCGTCATAACTCTTGATAAATACGAGAACTGTGGGTCTTCAAAGCGAGATACCATCAATAACATCCTTTAGAGGTGAAACAGGCAAAGCTCTCTGAACGAGCCAATAAACATTTCCTCAATTGAATAAAGAATAAAGGTTAATTTCCCAGTACGAGCCCTTTCCACACTCTACTTTAACTCATCATGGGTAATAACAGAACTAACGCAGGTGTAATTAATCATCTTAAATGAGGGCTCAGTTCCAATAAGACATGCCAGTGACTCAGCATTCACAATACAAAGCCCTGGAAAGTATTAAACCTAAATGGTATGCAGCCACTATTAATATTTGTTCAGTGCCAGCTGTAGTTTTTTGCTATGGCATGTTAAAACGTTTCATGAAAAAAGGGCCACCTGTTGCCTCTCTTATTACTTTCCGTTTATGATTAATAATAAGCCGAACATTTCCACCTGTGATCAGCCGAAACCAGACATTTTTGGGGCTTTTTTGCTTCAGTCACTTATTAAAATAGTTGATTATTAATTCTTAATCGACTAATCGTTTCAGATCCACTCATGATTAGTTTTTGCATTAAAATGAAACGATTCAATGCGACCCTAATGTTTAATGTACATTTCCCTGCTGGCTCACTGCATGTGGCTCACAGTCAGTCCTGAAATGTGACATAAAATGGAAACAAACACTACACGTAGGTAGTTAGAACATGGTTCCACTCCCTTACGCACACTGCACTTTGTGATCATTTGTTTGGGGTGTAGCAGAGCAGAAAGGGCGGCCTAAGACAAATTGCCTTTTTTTTTTGTTTTGTTTTTTTCCTCCATCCTGATGTGCCTCACTTCTCTGGGTTTTGTTTAGCAGTCCCTTCTCCAGCCGGTGCGAGTGAGGTTAATGCATCCAGTAGCCTTTGTTTTCCTTGCCGTGCTCTCTGTGGATTGCAGTCGCCTCTGGCTGCGGTTGACAGCTGGATTCCCTGGGATGACCCCAACAATGTCAGGTCAACTGCCTGCTGCAACCTCAAGCCACAATCACTGGCGCACACGCATATAAACACACAGTGAGACGGAGCGACAGCCAAGGCCTTCACCTCAGCCCGGACCATCTCTCTCATTGTTTCTGTTATCACGTCTGTCCACATAAAACCATTTACATTCCATCTCCATCCCTCCTGCCGTGGGGGTTTCAACTTAATGTCTCCGGGTCGGCCTCTTTCTAAGTGTGGAGGTTGATATTGGTTTCTGTGTGTGCATCTTTATCATTCTCTGTCATTAGTTGCGGGACAGACTGTGGTCACGGAGCGCAAGGGGTCTGTGGTTACCGTGGGGATAAACCGCCCAGAGGTGCGTAATGCGGTGAACCAGGAGACGGCGAGGCGTCTGCTGGAAGAGCTGGAGGCCTTCGACCGTGCACCAGATTTGAACGTGGCTGTGCTGCATGGGAAAGGTAAGAGAACTGCAACCTGTAGGACCTGTTTCTACTGTTCCCCCAAACATTAGAAACAGCAGGAAGCTGCTATCCTGGCTCTGTGCGAAGGCCCATCACCTTTAAACCCTAATCTGTACAAAAACTGAAGCGTTAAAAACAACACGTTGTGGTTTTTTAAAGGGATTATGTGCTAGACTATTTCTTTCCTGGGAGAAGTAACTTCCTGAAGTCTCCACTGGTTTCTTGGCAATGTTGCAGTGATGACAAGTCTCATATTTTAGCTTCATATTTGCCATACAGTCATGAGAGTAAAAAAATATCAATGATTTCCTTCTTCTTCTCCTTCTTTGTCTTGGCAATTTTAGGTACTTTTATAAAAGGTTAATTTTATGTCAGAATGTATTTTACAACTTCCTAACTTCATGGTTTAATAAGTTAGGGAAATCAAACCAGAGAGAAACATTATCGGTCATAGAGGGGCTCTGATGCAGGTATGGAACTCGTCATTGAAATGTCTTTATTTTTCACCTCCTTCAGCTCTTCATCTCTTCATGTCCTCTGTCCTCAGCACTCAACCTACTCTCTCTCCCTCACCTCCTTTCTCTGCCTCTTTTTTCCAGCCGTTGCTCCTTGGGCTCCTTAGATCTAGCCGACATACAGAGGTGACCAAGCTACCACACACAGTAAAAAAACAAAAACGCACACCTGTGAGGTGGCCTGCACTGTGTCAGCCAGAATCATGCCAGGGCTCCCAATACCTCTAAAAATAATCATCACACACACTGAATGAACTCCTTCCCTCAGTGGAAATAATGTCTTCAACCTGGATCAACCTGTCTGCTGTATAAAGTGCCCTGTGGCCTCAAGTGACACAAGTATGTACTTTGTTTGGTACTTCAGAGGTTGGAGCCTCTCCAGATGATGGCAGCTGAGTGCCACTAGTCTCAGCTGTGAACGGAAAACTGTGTGTGTGTGTGTGTGTGTGTGTTAGAGAGTAAGAGTAATTAGCTCGTGTTAAATGGGTTCGCAATGAGCGGCACAGTAGGTCGTTCCAGCTAAAGTGGCTCTTGTGTGATTCCCACAATGTCTGTAATGTGCCTTTAATCGTTCCACCACACATTCCTGTCAGCAGGTCGTCCTGTGTTGCTGCTCCACCGTAACAAGAAGACTGACCTTCATCGGCGATTAGCAGTCTGTCTGCGTTATGAGATGACAAGCAGGGAGGTTCTAGTTTGGATGTAGTGTTTCTGAAACACATAAGGAAGCCATTTTGATCAAATTAGCGCCAACACGATAACTCTCTCAGCTCTCGTTTTTCGGTGTCGACGTGTTTTTTTTAAGTCGTAGAATTGAGAGTAATTGCTTTCTGCAGGTTTTGAGTATCCTGGCACATATTTGGAGTGTTTGGGATTTGGATTTCTGTGGACGTTTTGTGGTCAGGTACAATCTAGATGTCAACCCAGCTGTGTCACTACAGCTGAACTGAGATGAAGCCTCACTGGAGCCATAAAAACGCATTGTTCAGTGCTAAATCTTTTTCTTTTTGACAGTGTCTTCAAGTCACAAACGTATTTTCTCACTAACTTCGAGAGTCGTCCATGTAGTTTTGGTTTTATTTCTCCCAAGATTTGAGAAACTGAATGGAATTTGGTTTGTGGTTCTCACAGCAGCAAAACATTAAATTAACAAACTTCAACAGCAGCCTCTCCTCTAAAAGACTGTTCCAGTTCAAAGGTGTTGACTGGGGATGAGGTCGAGGCCTTTTTACACAGCATTTTTTACTCACATTTTGACTTTTCATAATAGGAAACAGCGCAGGTGTCACTGGCTCAGATCTGGAGTTGGTTCCTAGGCGTCGCATACTGCTCCTAGCTCTTAAGAGGCTTCAACTGCAGAATGCATTTCCATATGAGGATCAATAAAGGATATCTGAACTGAACAGAACAGGACAACATTAACTGGGGCTCAGTATTGTTCAAGTGTCATTAATTTAACTATTTACAACTGTATTTTTCCTACTCTGATGTTTCAACATGTCTTAGGTGAAAAAGACAGATTGTCATGGAAGAGGAAAGGGCTTTAAAACGTGGTTTAAACATTTTTGGTTCAGTATGGACCAGATTAACCAAAGACAAACTTTTCCCCCCGTTTTATATACGAAAAGAGGCTTGAAATGGTAAAATTTCCTAGTAATTCACAAAAATATAATACTAATAATATAGTTAGAGGAACACCTGAAGCTCATGTAATTTTGTGTTATTTTCTGCCTTACTACCCACCACACCTCAGATTCATCTCCCGAGCCCTTGACATGACTGTCCACATACCTTTGCTCATATATATATATATATATATATATATATATATATATATATATACACTTTTTACGGAAGAAATAGTCCCTATGAAAGCGTGGACTAAGAATTGTCCTTTTTAATGCTTAAAAAACCCACAAGGCTTCACCTCAGTCTCCCAATCATTGCTCTTCTCTCTTTACAACATCTCCGATATAACTGCACCGCTTACTTTTTAAAGTTCACGTCTAACTGTTAGTCGCTGAAATGATAATTGAATAGAGTTTGTTTGGCCTCTCAGTTAACTAACTAAACCTCCTCTAAGAGTCTAAATAAAGCTTTAAGACCCTCCATGAATGGACCAGCTCTCCATAGCTCCTGCTCTTTTTCTTTTCTTCCTACAGGGACAAAGGGGTTTAGGGAGCTCCGTCACATCGCTGCTCCCATAAACAGCATGACGCACTGTTTTTCTATAATTGCCCTGCGCTGACCCACAGCTGTAATCAAAGCTCCCAGTTGATGGGTGTTGCTGGCACATGTGTTCGTTATAATCATTTTCATTACAGTTACATTAAGGACAGAGGAGGATTTTATGAGTCCCTGTCTGAGCCTGTGACATAGTGTTTGTAGGCCTCTTGGGTAATGTTGTAATTACCACATGAATCCAACGGAAGGGGCCGTGGTCGGAGCGCGTTAGTCTTCCATTAATGGCGATAATGCGTATGTGCATATGTGTGCACATGCGTGATCTGCGAGCATGTATGGGATTTGGGCTCTTTAGGGAAGAGAAGCAATCGTGTGCCAGCCAGCCCAAAGCAAGCTGCTATCCAAATTGCAGCCCTCGGACTCCAGCTCAACTTGTTGTTTTTTTCATCCTCATCATTTTCCCTTCCCCTCTGACTTTCCAGCTGCCATACTTTGTAATTTTGTGGTCTCCTTCAGGAGGGAATTTCTGCGCTGGTTATGATCTGAAAGAGCTGGCCAATCACACAGCCTCCCTCAAATTGGAGCAAGATGTCACCAAGGGTCCCGGTCCGATGGTGAGCGCTGTTCGGGCTGTGTGTGTGTGTGTGTGTGTGCGCGCTGGTGAGGGTTATATCTATATTTCCTTATGATCTTAATAGAAGGCTAAAGGTTTCCACAAAAATATAAAACCAGAAGATGTGGTCTGTAGTGATTGTGAATATTTTGAAGACAGGTAGTGGTGAAAGAATCAGGGAAAGGCCTCAGGAACTACAGTTGCGTATTGTGCACATACAGAAAGTCCTGACTGCGGCTGCCTGACAAAGAATAAGGATCATAACACAAATGAAGTACTGTATGCTATAAAAACTGTAGCCTACATTGGATTGCATGTGAAGTCTTTGGGATTGAGTGGACCTCCTGTGCAGAAAATTATAGCACTGTATCTCTGTCCAGAACGCACAGTGCTTCATTTGTTCAGCGACAGGCTAGACTTGGATCATTTGTTGCTCTTTTCTTTGACCAGCTTGAGGAAGAAATCTGGAAATAAAATCTGGAACAATTATTGGTACATAAACCATAGACATCAAAGAGGCAAAGAGCCTGAAATGCAGAGTGAAAATATACATTCATATAGACATGTTTCAAATATTCACACAGTGGGCCGATTGTACAAGCAGTGTTGTTAACAATGTGTATTCATTCTGTGTTTATTTTACTGTGCTGTGAAAGTCCTACACCTTTGCATGTATAGTGTGTGTGTGTGTGTGTTACTGATGCGGTTGTTTCCTGCAGGGTCCATCCCGTTTGGAGCTGTCGAAGCCGCTGATAGCAGCAGTCAGTGGCTTCGCTGTGGCTGGAGGGCTGGAGCTGGCTCTGCTGGCAGACCTGAGAGTGGTGGAGGAGAGCGCCGTCATGGGGGTGTTCTGTCGCCGGTTTGGTACGTTTGACACCTCATGCTACTGCTACCACAGCTACTGTACTATGCTGTACTGTACTTCTGCCTCTTTGTTCCAAAATGCTACTGGTGCCATTACTGCTGGAGGCTTTGTTACCTTTATTCAAGGTAGTTTCACTGAGACGTTAGGGGTTTAGGGCCTTGCTTGAGGGCAACTCAGTGTTGGTAATGACGGAGATGGAAGCACTGCTCGTTCACTTCCTCCACCCAGGTTTATCCTTGTCGAGAGATTGAAACAGCGACCTTCAGGTCTCAAGCTTGAACAAGACTTTTTCTTCAACTGATTATTTTACTAACTACTGCCTCAGCTTTTATTTCAGCTAATATTACTTCTTAAAGTTTCTCTAATGCTATTATCACTACACAATACCACCACGACAAATAACACCACCATAAGTTCAAATCTAGACTTACTACAGCTACTTAATGGACATATTGTACCACATCTGGACACAAACTGCCACTAGTAGTCGTAGCAAGAATATTGTAGCATTAGCTGTGCTCTTATAGTTGCTGCAACTATTTGAAACAATTCTCTTTACTTGTGCTATTATTACCTCAGCTACTCCCACTACAGCTACTTGCTAATAGTGTATCTTCTGTCAATATTCACACTGCTGCTACGAGTTCAAGTGACTTTTTTCTAGTTGTTCTTCTCATAGTAGTGGTACTAATTGGCACACTCTGTTTCTCTTGTAGTCCTGCTGCTGTTAATATTGCTAAGACAATCCTCTCACTACTGGCAGTGGGTTAGGAATCTTTCTGCTGCCACTGCTAATAATGTGGAATATATTTTCAGCAGACCAGCTCTCTTCCCCCTCATTCTGTTTTGCTGCTCCGTGCTGACTGTATGATTGTGTTTTTCTTTGCATCTAAGCATACATCATCTGTCTCCTAATGCCAGGAAGTCGACACTGTTTCTATTTTTCAACTTCTGTCCTCTGTTATCACCCCAGCCTCCTCTTGTTTGTGTGCGAGGACCGAGTCACAGTGCGATAACACCAGTGACTGTGACCTTTTGGCATCACAGCCAGAGTCTGCTGGGTAGTCTTGATAAGTAGGAGAGGAAGCGACCGACTGCCAGGTTTCCACTGCGGGGCCAAACAGGGCTTACATATTATTTATGTCACACAATTTCCTCATAAACAACATTTTCCTTTTTTGGCGTCTCATAGCTTACTGGCACGGTTTGCCCGCTGACTCGGCTATAGTTTTAAAAGAACAAGTAGTACTTTGGATCTTCTGCTGTAAACACTTTAAGCTAATCCTGATCCCAGCAAGTCATGGTTGGCTTTATTATGTAAAAGTGGCTCGTGTTGGACCATTGCAGCATCTCTCATATAGCCGTCATTGCTTTAGCCATGCTGCTAAAGGGTTTAAAATACGACCATGGTGTTTATAAATACAACTCTTGTACTATAATTTACTGGCAGTACTAGATTTAGAGTGTAAACATGCAGGGCTTATCATCTCAGGCCTGTAATTTCACAGGAGAGCATCCTGGCAGTGCCCTTGTCTTTCAGTCTTTCCCTTCAGACTGTCTGGTGGCAAGTCTTCAGTGGCAGGCCACGCTCGAGTCTCTCTGCAGTGTTACTTTTCACTCACACAGCCATTTTACCATCATTATTGTAGAGGATTCATTCAATATTCATTTAACATCTAAGTTTTTTGGTATTTTTGTTTTTCTAACTCCCTGTCATCAGAAGTTATTAGCTATTGCTAAAATTCTCCTTGTCTGCTCTTAAATGAGTTTAAGGCTATTCTGGTCCTGGTTTGAAATTATTTATATAATATCTAAACATGTTAATGTATTAACTGTATTTAAAAAGCACCACAATTTAATGCTCCATATTAATAGGGAAGGGAAAACAAACCTTGAATACATTCTGACATAAAATTTACCTTTTATAAAAGTACCTAAAATTGCCAAGACAATACCTCAAAAAAAGTGTGTTTATTATTTCAGCCAATTCAATTATTTAATTGCCAGGACATTGTTGCTTTAACACCTTTTTGGTACTTAAACAAAATAAGGGGTAGGGTTAGAGATGGAAAGGTTTGTCATTTAAGATTTTTCCAGTTTTAGAGGCAGAGTTATTGTACGGCTGCTTATATTTAGACAACATTTGAGACATTTGGATTCTTTTGTTATATGAAAAAAACATTTTCTTTGCATATGTCCTTTTGTATGTCATTAATTTGTGCAATTAGAATCAAAAAGTTAAAACATTCACTCAAGTTTTAAAAATACACATCTCAAGGATCATGCTTGCTACTAATTCTGTATGTTATCTGCTGTTAACATTCAAATTCTAGCAGCATCCTTGCTGCCTGCCAGACACAGAAAAGGAGAAGTAGGAAAATGTTAGTATTGAAGATGGAGGTTAAGATTAGCGGAGACACGGGAGAAGACACACAATGCCAGAGTTATAATTTTAACATTGCATTATCTGTGTCATCTGGACACAAACTGACAAACTTCTTTCAACAGAGTACAAAAATCTCAGTCTGCGCTTAGCGTGTCCCATTAGGGATGAAATTAATCTGCACTCAAACCTCTTCCATCAGCTCAAAACTATGTTTGGGAGGCAGAAATGATCATTACTGCGGTTTCGACACATTAAGTTGCACATTTCCTCCCAGTAATTAATTCTCTGCCTCTTGATTGCCACATATCTTCAAGGCTTGTTTGTCAACACATTTGAGTCATTTCCCTCAGCTTAGTCAAAACCACTGTGGTTTTTCATTCAGATGTGCATTTAGCAGAGTGATTATTACTGTGACTGCTGGTTTTCAGCATTTGTATACCCCTCTGTGTAGTTTGATGTCGCACAACTGGCATCTTCACCCCGTCAAGCCTGTAGTTAGTGTAGTTTGAATTGTGGCGTGGGTGAGGCAGCATTAGCTGGATTTAATGGTGCCGCATTCCACAATGAGACATTTCTCATAAGACCGTGAGTTTAGAAAAAAGAAACAGACTTTGCAGTGGAAAAGGACCCAGCAGCATGCATTTAAACTGACTTTATTTTGCTAACTTTAAACAATTGAAAACCAAACTTCCCTGCCCATTTACATCAAATGCAAGCGCTACTCTGTGGGATGCACAGTTTATTTAAAGATCCTGTGTTTCTTACCGATTATTTCCTTTTAATGGTTGAATTCTGTAACCGTTTTGGGGTCGGACACAGATGGCAGCAGCCGGAGGGAATCCCTGGTGGCTTTGGAGTCGAAAAACCCTCAGAGGCTCGCTGCAGTGCTCTGATGTGGGCCAATGGCAACCATAAGGATCTGACAGCTTTCTGGCATGTGATTGGCTGCCGAACCTGTGGCTTCCTGTCTGGGGCCCCTCTGCCCCGCCGAGGAGGAAATGAGAAGGAGGAGATGGTTGCGTCACAGGAGTCTGGTATTAGTGTCTACTGCTCATTGGATTTTTTGAAAGACCTGAATGAAAAAACACTGTGCTTACCTAATTCCCTGATGTTATTTTGGTTCCCTAAACCAGAGGAACATCTCAAAGCAAAAAAAAAAAAAAAAAGGTTGGCAGCGGAAAAGGAAACTTAAAATAGTTCAGTAATACTTCAGTCGAGGGTTTTCCTTTTTAAACGGTGAGGCTAAATCAAGCAAGCACGGATTGTTACGATAGTACCTCTCTGATTTTCCTGTTTGAAATGGAGACCGCTAAATGGAGACCCTTTCTCTCCTTCCCAGTTTTAAGACCTTGTCTCCTACCTGGACGAGCAACAGATAAAGAGTGCCAAAGGAGGAGAAGCCACATGCTGAATCGAAGTCAAACCTCAGTCCAAAGCTGACATAACTTTGGCCAATTCAAACACCCGCTCAGTGAGTTTGAAACTGAGTGACATAGTCCAGTGATTACATCATCTCGCCTCAAAAACCGACACTGTTTTTCAAACTTCAGGTTTCTTTTCCATAAAGAGTGAATGGACACAGCAGTTGTGTGAGATGGAAATCAGACAACATTTTAAGGGCATACACTGATGGCAATATGGGCATTCTTTTACAAATAGCTTTATATTAATCTAAAGGCAAGTAATCACAACTCATTTACTAAATATTTGAATTATTTGAAACTTTGTTCTTGAAATGTAGTGACTTTGGGGCAGATTGGGTTGCTAATAGGATCTGATCATATTTAAACTTTTAATTTTGGTTCCTTTTTACGAGGTGCTACATGTCCATTCTCACGGTTTAAGGCCCCGTTTGCAGCCTTGGTGGTCTCGCATAATGGTGCTCTGCACAGTAAAGAATACACAGCCCTGGTATTAACTCAGTGGGCTAAATATATGAAATCAAGTTAACTGTGTGGCACTCATCTTTGACCTAGCCCAATGGCAGTTATTTTCCTCAATTCCCAGTGAGTATTTCAAAGTGAGCCTCTGATTGAAGGTCTGCTCTTTTCCCTCTGTCCATTTAGTCTGGAGCAGTCCGGAAATCGTTAATCCACATCAAACTTAATCGCATTACCCTCATGGGAGGCCATTGTAGTGGGTTTTACTTTGATGTGGTGAGGACGCCAGCAGCACCAGCAGCAAACCAGAACACCTCAGTTTGTCATGTTTCACACTCTGTTCACAGGTTATTAGCAGCTGTAGATGGTGGATGCGATGTCCCGTGGAGTGTGGTCTCCTCTCGTCACACTTTGGACCAATATCAGGCACAAAAATGATGACTTTTCAGGGGTCAGTTACAGAGCAGCAGTCTCTCAGCTGGTAGGGATTCACTGTCTTCATCTGACATTTCAGCAGGGGGAATCCTTGTTGGGCTTGAAAAAACATTTTTTCTTTCTTAAAAAACTGCTACCGCAAGTTTACATACTGAATAGAAAAGTCATATTAGAGTTCACTTTTATGTCACTCTAGATCAACATTCATCATGCGGGTCACTTCAGGCCCGTCAGCTGGAATCTGTTGTGGGCCACATTCAAAAACTAAAGTGAACAGCCAAGTCTGGCTGTTTTTGTTTTTCCCGTGATGTGAGGATGATGCTGTCCATCTACCGTCTGCCTGAATCCATGTGAATGCAGCACAACATTATGTCATGTCTTACATTGTAAAAATGAAGCCACAGTTCAGGTTTTTAAAAAGCCACTGTGTATTGTAGGTAACTGTCCTTCTAGCCAATCAAAAACCACTTGCACCATTAGTTGATCAGTAAAGTTCATAGCAGTTAAGAACATTGTGTCATTACTAAATGTGACTAGAGGATTATTCAAATATTCTACAAAATGTTTGGTGCTGAAAAATGTAATGAAATACTTTTCTGTTTTCAACAAATGAATGCTGATTGAGGATCAAACAAAATACCTAAGAAGACTTCTAAATGCAAAAACTTTTTCTGATGACTCAAATAGGATTCGGGAAGAGCTGGACTGTGCTGCTATCTCAGGCCAAAACATTATACCAAACTCTGTAGCAACTAGATAAAATACAAGGTTTCTTCTTTCCTGCACACTTCTCCTACACATCATTAGATAAGCCGGGGCCCTGTGATGCAGGAAGAGAAGCACCTCTTATATCTAGTTATTAAACAATGGGCTTTGTTGACTCATGTTCAGCCTTGTTAATAACAAGCCGCAGTCTTGACAATGGGCTTATCTGCTTTGAACAAGAAGGCAGAGGGCTCCTTTGCAGATGTTTAGCTCATTATTGAAGACCAACGATGACAAATCCGCACTTTTGTTTAGCGGATGCTGATTATCTTCTATCAGGATCACTGCCAAACATTTTCCTCTATGAAACTTGGAATAGGGGATCAGAAGCTCCCCAGCCTCAGCCATCTTCTTTCAAGCCAAACATGCCTTTTGAGTTAAAACTTCTTCAAGGACGGGCTCCCAACCCTTCCAGCTCCCATTCATGTGGGTCTGCGTAAATTCCTGCAAACAGGACACATCAGAGACGGGACTATCAGACAGAGGGAGGAGGGTGAGGGTTGGAGGTGCTGGAGACGAGTGCTGTGGATAAGACTGGAGATCCTTCCGGTTGCTGATAGCGATGGTGCCAACAGCAGCACCAAAGACAGACAGACTGGAGGTCAACCTGGAGCTTTATCTATCCTTCTTAGAATCATGGTTTTCCTTCCTCTGCCTCATTCCAGCTCTGCGTACCCCTCTCTGTTTTCTAGCAAGCCTCCTGTCTCTCTCTGTCATTCCTCTTTCTGTCGTTTGCTTTAATCAAAGGTGATTGTTGCCGGACACGAGATAGAGGAGCTCTCAGAAGGTATTTCTGTAGCAGCAGCAAAGGACTGTAGAGTAACAAAAAAGAAATTACGATTTGATTAAAATATTATGAAATATTGAGTCACTCAGCAGAGTATTAGGAAAAAGTTAGCAATCGGGCAGATAAGTGTAAACTGTTAACTAAAAGAAAAATGTAGTTCATTAGACAGGTGCATAGGAGTAGGATGAGTAGATCAGAAAGTTGCAAAGATAAATAACCAAGCTGTCTAACTTACTAATTAATATTTGCGATGTTACATTATGTAGCGAAATGTTGAGTTTAATTGTATGAAAATAATATTAAAGTAATAACCACTTCTGTATTATCAATAGTGGTTAAATACTAGTTTAAACATTTTATTGGTGGTGTTGAGTGATTGAGTTCATCTGATTGGGCTGTGGGTGTAAATCATACAATTCAAAGAGGTTTTATTGGCACTAAAGGAACCACTGGACTGCGCATCTGAGTGTAGTTACATGTGGCGTAGGACAAAGCTCCGCAGAGAGAAACCTTGGCTGAAACACTCAGTTGTTGTCTCAGTCCATGTTGAAAAGACCTTGAACCTCACACACACCTGCGCTGCAAGGCTCCGTGCTATTCTTCTAATTGAATTCCTGCAAAAAGGAATTCAGGCATCATTTATGTAGCGTTTCATCAGCTCGGGGTGCTCAGCTGTGCACTCTGTAATTTCCATTTCAGTAGATTTACATTCCTGTAATGGGGGATGACTGAAAAATTGAGTGAAATCTAGTATTTGCAGACAGTGTAACACCCTCCTCCCCCACCTAATTACAGTCTTCTGTCTGTCAGAGTGCCGTATGTGCCGACTGTCTGAACCCAAACCAGGCCCCTGGATCGGCCGCACGTGCATCGACACTGGTATTCCATGTATTCCAATTTAATTTATTTGAACGACACGGAGGAAGAGAGTAGCTCAAAGAGTATGAATAGAATCACAGTATTTCCACGAGTCCCTACAGAACGAGAGAGGAGGGAGAAAAAAAACAACACCTGAAAGCTAGCATGATGATTTGGGGTTATGAAAACATGTCCGACACATGTGCTCTCAATAAGGGGCGGTCAAATAGAATCAGCGACTTGGAGGAATTAGGGAGTCGGGATTGTGGTGTAGAACTTGGGAGCGCTGAACGGTAGAAAGTATGCCTGTTCCAGCTGGTGCTCTTTAGAAATTAGGACAGATGCCAAAAGCTTGCTGTACCTTGCAGTGTGCTCTTTCTCCTCTTGTTTCTCTCTTCCCTCCTATCCTTCTTTCTCTCTGGTAGACTCCGTAATAATGCAAATGTGTCCGGTGAGACTGAGAGCAAGGAGGAGTTTTGAGTTCTCACATACTGACGGAAAGAAAACAGAGTTACGGTTAAGGAGTGAAATTGTTTCAAAACTTTGCTCCCCTGACAGCTGTAACCTAGATTAATGCCAGCAGTATATTAAGTGTTTCGTTGGCTGTTTTTCACACGGCATAAGTGACCTGAACCCAATACACTGGCCATTGACAGTGGCACAGTGGCCTACACTTCCTTTCACCCTTTACGGTTAAGTGACTCAAATTTCCGTCTAAAGGTAATTTTAGAGGACCCCCGTCCCCTTCCTTCCTATAATAAATATCCTAATGTGATGTAGTTTTCAGCAGTCAGTAATACAGACTACTCTTCAGTGTTTAGGATGAGGCTGCAACTAACAATCATTTTCATTATCTGTCCAATATTATGTATGCTATTTATTGGTTAAGCATTATACTAACTAATAACTAAATACTCAACAGTGACTGATACCTGATACTGACTGACTGATTGATACTAGTTTGAGGCCAAGGACTTTTAGTATA